TACATTAAGTTTCAAAAGCTCTAGAGCCAGCATTCATTATACGTAAGACAGTCCATATACATGTACATGTAACACTCTAGCAGCTGCTATGTACATGACGTATATTCCCATCCAGTGCATTGAATTTAAATCGGGCCACACTTTGTCTAGATCTATTTACCCTTCTTTACTCCTATTCTCTGGCAAAAAAATCAATTATAGAAGTTAACGAGTTTCAACGACCTTGTGACGAGAAAACAAATTACTTTATAATTGCACAAGTCGAAAGGTACAACATGGGAAATTTGGTGGACCATTTTCTATTCATGCTTATTAGTACATGTATGCTAGACATACTGTCTTCCTATAGCCTGGATGCCAGACCCTAGCGCAATTCAGTACTCTCACATGCCGGGGATCAACTGAGGTTTGTGGAAAAATTTTCTTGGGGGCATGTTCGTCATGGAGCCAAGGATCTAGCCCATGCAGATACTGGCCCTGGCAACAGTCTGGCACCCAGACTAACCTTGGAGCCAAGGAGCTAGGCTGTATACTGACCCTGGCAATAGTCTGGCACCCAGGCTAGCCCTGGAGCCGAGAAGCTAGCCTATATACTGGCCCTGGCACCAATTCTAACCTTGGAGCCAAGGAGCTAGCCTGTATATACTGGCCCTGGCAGCAGCCTGGCACCCAGGCCAGGTTTCCTACAGATGATCCCAGTGATATGCCATTTGAAAATAGGGATTACTCCATGATCCAGCCTGCCAAGTAAAGTTGCGTGACCTGGAGCCATTTGGAGATGGAGAAAGGGTGCTACTGGTAATGGAATTGTAGATGACAGTTTCCAATCTGCTATCAGTACCTGGGAATTGTCATGGGGGCACAGAGTAGATTGTAGGCTTTTCAATATGGGAGGTGGGAGATATGTCAGATGTCTGGAGGGCTATGGGGATAGAATTTTCTAGCAGAGTTTGGAAGTGAATTTGGAAACTTACCGGTACTACATATCCGGTTGTTAATGATCTGTTACCTTCAAGTATAGTTTAGAACTTTTGTTTTTTGGTGTGTATGTTTGTATGTTTGAGTGTGTTTCAGTACTTTTTCCACATGCTTGGCATTTTGAAGATGCAGACAGGATGTTACTATAAATTATAATAGGTCAAAGGTCCACAAAAGATCCTAGAAAGGGTTATCTCATTTCCTATCTTCAATTACCCACTATCTGTGTGGCCTTATATGTGACTGTGCCTCAGTAAATGCATAGACAAAATCAGTGAGAAATTCATACTTATTCATCATTATCCACTGTCCAAACATCTGCAGATGTATGAAAATGTCCTACAGCTGGATTCAGTCTTTCTTCATCATAGATAGTATGGTTGAATAAAATAATTCAGAAATTCACAGAAAGTAGTCCTTTTTTTTTCTTGCACTGAAATGATGTATAGGACCTTGGAGTTTTTCTATTAGATTGTCAATATGGAGTGTTCTTGGGCACAAATGAGCTAATACATTATCTTCATGGAGATTTATACCCTATAGTCAAAGGGTAATGGACATTTTACTGTTCCTACCCTTGAAGTTCAATGATGAATCACACAGGAGTTCTAATGACTACTAATTTTAAACTTCTAAGGAGGGGTTTTAGAAGTACAGACTTCATTATCAGGTGAGCATCAGTCATTTGTAGTCTACATGGATCTTTTTTCAGGATAGTGATGCACCAATCTCTTATTATAGAGAAGTCTACATCTTTTTTTTCAGCTTGTGGTGACATTTGAAACTTAGAGTAGTACTACTACATTTGTTATCAGATTTTTGCTTCGCCTGCACTTTTATAGGTAAAAGATGAATGTATCCTCATTACTGTGCATCTTGAAAGCGATTTGAAGTGCTCGCTAAAAGATGTTGCGTCTGAAAACCTGATTGCGGTTCTGGCCTTTTGCCCAGACACTGCCGGATGACCCCCTATTCTTCTCCGAACAGACTGTCAGATACGTTCAGGACAAGTGCTTTACAAGCATCACTGACAAGTCAGATAACCTTTGCAAACATGTAACTTATGTTGTATCTAGATATTGAATATCATGGCTGATGCTCTTTAGTCAATGATGCTTTGATATGAGTTGAATATCATTAGAAATGCCTAGGCAGAGCTTGGGAAAGAAATAACGGTCAAACAATCATACATGTAGAACAAGCTGCACCTATTTCCTGTAAGAATTTGGTTGGAAGTAAAATATCTATTTTGCTTTTATTATTGTTTATCATTTGATGTCAGTCCTTACCCTATGTAATAAGTCAGGAAACTTCTTTATACAGAGCTGTACGCAAGTAAAATTAGTCCATTATAGGTGAATTTGAGCTGAAAAAACCTAGATCATAAATATAGTTCAGCAACACACTGTCTTCATCAAAGTATTCTGGTTACACATGGACAGACAGCTGGGACATAAACAGGAAAGTAGGAGAAAATCAATAAATGATCCAACATGGTAACATTAACGCTCTATGACTCACACTTATGATATTGAAAATTAATATGGGAGAAAACTTCCTAAGTGATTCATACTCTCCAATGTGCTTAGCTAGCCCAACAAGGAGTATGGATCGTGGACCATGTGGATTAGTGGTGCTGTAGACCGTGGGCTGGGCATTATTGCTTGGGGAGGTTGGCTTCCCACTCCTGCTGTTGGTAGTGATTGATCTGAACGGCAGAGGCGAAGCCTTGGAAAAAAATGTTGCGTTTCCTGTTGCCCGACCAACCCTAGAAAAAAACGCAGACCCTACCCTTTTTTGGTTAGACCCCTTCAAGGGACATGAATTTTTCGAGCTTTCTAGCTTCATGATCTGACACCAGAGTGATGAAATGTTGTACAATAAGTCTTCCAACATTGACATTGAAATATTAGTGTCTTCATGCAAATTTTACTTTGTTAAACTGTATTGTATTCTTTGGACCACAGGTTGGATCACTAGAGATTGCCAAAGTCAAATAAAATATTGGTAAAGAAAGAAACTTTGAAACCTCAGCCTTCTCGACCTTGTTGAAAAGCGGCCGTTTTGGCTGAACAAGCATTTGAGAGTAAAAAACGGTATTCATTCATTAAAAAAAAAGATAATCCCTACCTACCGACCCTATTTTTTTTCAAGACTGAAACATGAAACACAACATTTTTTCCAATGCCTTGTGATTGATCAGAGCGGCAGAGGTGAAGGTCTGCCAGGGCTGGCATTTGGCAGTGGCTGTGTGACGGCACTGCCCGCCTGCCCTGACCTCACACATTGATTTTGTGGTAACCACAGGAAAATCTGCTGCCAGCTCACACCGCAACAGCCTCACCGTGCCAACAGATACATGTTTTACACCGACGGCGCCGTATAAAGATGAATTAAGACCTTTAGAAAGTGCTCAGATTATATATTGAAGGTTTATGGAGCTCATAAATTGTTTTAGGTTTACATGTATGTAATACGTCGTAAATTGTTAGCATAATCATCTTTACTGGAAAGCTGTATGTACTTCGAAAATAGAAGTCATTATCGGAAGTTATATAGTGCTTTCGGACCATGAGCATTTTTGAGCAATTATAGTACAGTGTAAGTTCAAATCATTTAAATGTGAATTTAAATCAGAATGGGTAGCAATGTCTCATGCGCCACAATTTCCATTATTAGAATGTGTAGCAATGTCTAGTATGCCATGAATTCCATTATTAGAATGTCTAGCAGTATCTAGTGTGCCATGATTTCTTGATTTATCCATGTGAAGTCACTGCCAAGTTTAGAGGTCGATTCTATTGCCTCCATTTTTACCATGTGAAGGGAGATCATGATTGGGGTCAGTTCATTATAAAACTAGGCACTATTCATAGTCAGGCCTGATACATATCTATTGACAACATGGTGACAGTGGCAGTAGGAGGGAATTTATAACGATTGATGGTATAGCAGTGCAAGATTCAGCACCATGGACAGTCCCTATAACCATACTTACCTCCTTTACACATTTTCCTTCTGCAATGGTAAACATACATGTAGTAGAAGAATAGTTTAGGAAGTTGTTATCTGCCTACATGGCCCAGTTGTCTACACATGGCTATTTAAGACTATTGATAAATTGTTGGTGCCACATCATGCGGGAAGCAGCTGCCTGGTTTGAGACAGTGTTGCACTCAGAAACATGGCTTCAGGACAGGCTATTAGTGATGTACTATTTATACTGGCAAACTATCCTCTTTGGTTGTGGTCTGCACATTTATCTACATAAACACCATACAGATAATCTTTAGAAGCAAAGCCAAGACTCAGAAAAGAACCTGAAAAGTTTTGGCTTTACAGTTGATAAAGTTTATCAAATTTACACGAAAAGACCATGCATGTGGCAAATAGCCATACTGTCTTTTGCACGTAGTACTTTTAAATTAGTCTTTAGATTAGAAGGATACTGGCTAACTCTGTTATCTATAGTGGTTCAATGAGGGTCAGACTTAAGATTGATACGCTGCCATACAAGTTCATGGCTACCATTACCTATGAGCCCTCTCTTAACAACCAGGATGCCTGATATATGGAGGGACTGCCGTGGTCTTGTTACCACAGGGTTCCCAAAGTCTGGGAACTTTTGACTGATACTTTTCTACAAGGGCTCGGATTTTTTTCTACTTACCTGCAGTACTTGTTAGCATTGGGAATTATATGCAACAGACAAGTTTTATGTGCACTACTTACAGCATTTATCAAGACACCCTCTTAGTCTGATTACTTCGAATGGCCTGATCATATTGTCCATCTAAGACACTGGCCCTAAAACCATAGTTCTTAGAGACCAAAACTAATGTTGGTACTATAAATAATAATTCAAGGCAAAAACAAATGGGTCACAGCATTTATCAAGACACCCTCTTAGTCTGATTACTTGGAATAGCCTGATCATAATGTTTAATCTAAATCTATGACCCTGAAGTCTGACCTTGTTTTGCCACCACAAAATTACGTTGGATGCCTTTACTGTGTTGTAGGATGACCCAGATGCACACAGTAAGTTTGTGACCATCAACAAGGCGTATGAGGTACTGAAGGATGAAGAGTTAAGGAAGAAATACGACCTGTATGGAGAGGAGGGGCTGAAGGATGACTTCCATGGGGGAGGGCGATACGAGAGCTGGAGCTACTATAACCAGGAGTTTGGTGAGAACTGCACTGTTTTTCATATATGTTTTAAGTGTTGTTACATACAATGATGAAGTATGATGAAATGTAAATGGACAGTTTTTGTTGTAGTATGCTACAACCATATGTGTACCACATATTATGAAGTTTTCAACATTAAGAAGAATTTACTGTTAGTAGTGCCAGGCATTCAAAAGATGGTACTGAATTCAGTGCACATTCCTGTACAGTACACCATTCAGATTTCTATTTAGTACCAACTTACAACCAAAAGGATATTGAAAACTTCATGAAATAAAAGGTCAGCAAATTTATTTTTAGAACCATAGAACGTGTATCCATGCCTGAATAGCACCAGGAGTTTTTGAAACAGCAAGCACTAAGTGATTTATTTCAAAGTGCCAATTTGCTGTTCAGCCAGAAGGAAAGACAAGTCTTGTTTATTTCACACTCGAAGGGACAAACTGCTCATAGATCCTCATAGAACAATAAATAAAGATTGTGAAGATTCCGGAAATGGCACATAGGGGAGACAAACTAGGATAATGAGAAATAAAACCAGTGACGGTTGACGTAGAAAAGTAGGAGGCAGACCACAAACGTGGTAGTCTGGTTGTGAGTTGGCCTAACATCTTAATGCCCACAAAGCTGGTTCAAAGCCCTTTCATCCCACAAATGTACATCCATCAACACCTGCCAAGTGAGAAGTCACAGCCCCGTGATTCCTGTGTGAGAAGGAATGAGTGTTTGAAGACCACTCTGTCTTATCAGTTCATCTCACCATGACTGTTGCCGCATTATAGGGAAACCTAATGGCTGCATCGCGTGGGTTGGCTGACGTACATGTAGACTGGCCGGTTTGAATTGCAATTGGGATCTTCTAAGTATGAGATGGTGTGATAGAATGTACTAACTATATGGTCTGATGGTAATACAGTACTTGTGCATTTGAGATAAAGGAAGATTTCAAACTTCATTTCATACTAAAGTTTTTGTTATTCACTGAAAATGTCAGAAGCAGTCTTGCTCTATTTTCATCTATTACATTGTACCTATACTATTCACTGCAACTGCTTCTATGAATAAATCCATGTTAACAAAGCCACAAATAGTTTTCTAGACACATGTATTTTTCAATCCAAATATTTCACTGTGATAGAAAGTGTGGAAGGTCAAACAAAATATCAAATCTAGCCCAATTTATGCACCTTTCTCTCTACTGAAGTTGCCCTTTAGTATGAAATTTATATTGGTTACAAGTTAAGGCAGCAGGGACAAGGTTACAGCATTTTACAGTGTAGTTTGCTGCCCAGAGGTATAAAAGTTTTACCTTCACGACTCCTTGTTCATTCCGAATCAAGTACGGACATCCATCTTGCTTTGTAACTCTGATCTCGGTGTGGAAGATTTGATTATCCATCCCTGAGGGCTTCTCCACAATTCCCACTGGGACAGTAATGTGTCTGACCCAGGTCAGGGGCACATATATATCAATCCTGGGGTAAATATGTGAAACGGTGAAACCGCCACTGGTGCAATTTAGATGGATCATGCGGTAAGCGTATGGCCTATTAAATCTGTTCTTGGAATTTCTTGAGCACTACGGGAAAGTAGCTTTATTGTGAGGATAAGTGAGGACCATTGCACAGGCTGAAAGTATCAAAATTGAATGATTGAATGTAGTTTAAAACTGTATAAAAGGAAAAAAAAATTCTCCAGTGATTTAGTCTCACTTGAAACTTTCTTTGGAAAATACACATCTTTTTCACAGTAACAAAAATTTTAATCAGAAATTCTATGTAAATGGTGGTTACCATTACTAGTATACATAATACAGATAGTCAGTACAGTGTTCTTCCTAAAAAATGATACAGTGACGACAACAAAAGTTTATGTCCCCGACAACTCAATATCTCTATCAAGACTGCTTTACCTTTACCATGTAGTTTTATTACAGGAACAGTAAAAATGACTCGATTTTTCTCGATCCAACTCAGTTTTGCCCAGCCATGTGTAAAAAACAATGTCCTGGTCCTTGGTTCAATGATTGCCACCAGATGGACTCTAAAGCCAGGAAAAGGCACCATGGATTTTGACAATGTTCCAAAACCATTTAAGATTTTACTGTCCTCGTCTTTACTGCCCAGTCTATAACTCTAAGCAATTAGGTGTAAACTGTGCATCAGTTGTGCCATGAATATGGAATAGTGGTATAATTTCTTTAATTCATGAGTGATCAAGCAGCAAGTCATCAAGCAAAGTTCTGTTGAAATGTTTATCCAGTAAATATTAAAGTTGGAGGTATAGTGACCATAACTACAGTATGATTTGTAATGGTCTAGTGTTCACAGTGTTACTTCATCTACTGTGTAGTTGTACACCCTGATGTGCATCCTCTAACGTTACAGTCCTTTACTTAGATCTGAAGTTGGTTTCATGTTTAAGGAGAGTGAAGCCTTATGCCTTGAGCATACTAAAGATCCTCTGCCCAACTCAATATAAGTATAAATCCACAGAGATGTAATCTAGCATTTGGAAATACAACTTTGTGTGCCAATTTTTTTTTTATACTGGACTTGCACTTTACACCAGTTGGCACTAAACCAAGTCATATACAACTTGTATGGGATTAGGATTCAGAATATTGACTCAGGTTGCACCTTAAAAGTTTGTAAAGGGTGTTCTTTAATTATCTCCCTAGCTGCATGCTAGTCACATAAACATTTGATGCAGTGGAGTTTCTCCATCCATGACAGCAATAAGAAACAGTCTGGACAGTGAGCTTATGAAAGATTTCATAGAGTAGAGGAACTGTCATATATCAAAGTATGAAACTGTCAATATACCACTTCACAGTCTGATACCTGTCTTTTGTTAGTTTTAAGTGAACAAAAACTGTTATAGATATAAATGTTGTAAGTTTCAGGACATTAAATTCTGTCACAGCAATTTGGCAAAACCCATGAAAATTAACGATCAATGTTTAAAATTTAGCACCATAAAAATCAGTTATATAACAACCTGACAAGGGCAACAATTCATCCTAATTTGTGTGTGACAGACATTGCAGTGCCCTACATGCCTGTTATACAGTTGTAGGTGCCAGTCAGGCTAGCTCATTTATCCTACAGTAGACAACTTTATCTTCAGTCCAGACATGAGATTTATATTTGACAAGGTGCCTGTAACAGAAATAAATCATTACAGACTAATTAAGCAATGTTTCAACCAGCAGTAAACCTTTTGTGCAAGATGAAAATCTATAAATTAACATATCTTCTATTCAGAACATCAAGCCAAAATGGAAAAACTTTTCTGCCAAATAGTTTTTGCTTTTGCAACCTGCATATACCCAGTACATGGACCAGTGCAGGTTAGGTGCAGGTAGACATCAGAAATACCTGCACAGCCCCAATTTTACCTGCACTAACCTGCATATACCCAGTACATTGACCAGTGCAGGTTAGGTGCAGGTAGACATCAGAAATATCTGCACAGCCCCAATTTTACCTGCACTAACCTGCATATACCCAGTACATGGACCAGTGCAGGTTAGGTGCAGGTGGACATCAGAAATACCTGCACAGCCCCAATTTTACCTGCACTAACCTGCATATACAAGACCTGGAGTGTACTTGCCAAAGGGACGTTGGCTTCAGGCCAACAACATGTAAAATGGGACTTAACAGTTTTATAGTTGCGGTTACATTAAAAAGTCAGATAATCCCCTAAAGGCAGTAAAAGAAGCAGAGTTGATCCAAATGCCAACTTTGTTACACGATATCCACATTAACATTCAGTGTGCCGGCTTAGTCCCTGGGCAGCCGTAAAGATTGAAACCAGGCCTGTTCTGTAGTGTTGTCATGTATATTTTAAAGACCTTGCAGGATAAGTTGACTAATTGATCTCCCACCGTCCTAACTCTGTGTGAATAATGCAATAAAGACAGGACGGGAAATGTCCAGAGACTGCTGATGAGCAAGACAAGGCAATGTACAGCCTCATGGAAGCTGTCCAGGTTTTGAAAGCTGCCATAAAGTTTAGTGTCTTTATGAAGTAAGTTTTAATATTAATTCCCAACACAAGTAATTGAAGTTGAATTGAACCCAAATTTTTGACTGTACAACCCCAGTCCTTTTCAAGGAATGTCCTTGACTAAGACTGCTGGAGTTATACAGTAAAAAATTTGGGTGACTCCAATTTCTTGTGTTGGAAGTTACAGTTAAAACTTGCTTCACAATGACCTCTACCAACACAGATGAACTTTCAAGATAAAGTTAAGTGTCATGTTGCACAAACCTAATGTAAACCAGTATTCCATCTGTCCATGATTATAAAATTACACACAAACTCCACAAAATGAAATATGAACCAAAGTAAGATTCCCAAATCATCAGTAGTCTAGACTTGTTCAAAATGTGGTTCAAAACTTGGCCAAGGCTCAGCCCTAGTGATACCTCAATAAGATTCAATGACGTTATTTTGGCAAATTGCAAGCTGACATTGGATTAACCTTCATAAAAGTCTGGCTTATGACATTTTCGTGTGATTAAAATACCACAATGTATGATATAATATCATTAGTAAAGGTCTTCTTGTCAAATAACAGGCTCTATGGGCCACTTGCAATTATGATTAGAATGATATCACAAAACTAACCTCAGTGCATCTAAATTGCATGTGTCAATTTGAAAGAACACGTACATTGTATCTAGTAACCCAGTGAAGTTAGATTGCTTCTTGTGTGTGTGTGTGTGTGTGTGTGTGTGTGTGTAGAACTTGTTTTTGTATTATGTAATCAAAACTTTCTTGAAGAGTTAAGGTAACAACATTGTTACAAGATGGTACAAGTTTAGATTAAGATGTAGTCACTGATATTTTTGTTTAAATCCTGGATGTTAGGAGAGAAAATCCATCTATAACCATTTTTACAACAGTCATATTGTGTTATCCAAAATACATAGAAATGACATTGAACTTTTTTGTTTTGCATGCCTCACTTCCATTGTTTCACACACAGCAGTATTTCCATAAGAAACAATACATCTTGATTATGGAGCAATTGAATCTGTCTTGGCCTGTAGGGAGGCATTTCTGGTGAAAAACATTGATATGTGCTGCATGTTGGGAGGTCCAATTACTAGCACATTCCTAGAGGAAATAATCGGTACTGACTTTAGTGGAAAACACTGTCCTTGGGAATACATAGTGTGCAATATATAAGACTTCTACAGGATGCCACAGTTAATCATACTTAATGTTACATATACTTACCTGGTACTTAAATCAGGTTTGTTGGTAAAATCACAGACTATGGCATTAAATGTATCTGGAGGATACAGTAAAAAAACGTCTTTCTTGGGATATCAAGGCAAGATACTGCTTTAAATATTATATAAAAATTATGGTTTCCAAAAGCCTGTTATACATATACAACAGAAGTTCAACAGACGAAAAAAACTTAATCTTTTTTTTCCAGACGCAAAACTTTAGAGTCCACTTGAAATGTTATTGGAGTAGTCTGAATACCTGTGGCTACTTCTTCCTGGCTTCAATTGCTATACAAGATTTACATTTTTCATTTCTTGCATTATAGTGTACTAAGCTTGATTCCAGGTTTACAATTTAGTACTGATTTTTACATTTTGTATAGATCCTTTAACAATTTGAAATACAAGCCTGTCATCCTTGCGTGAGTCGGACGCTATAAAATCAAGATAGATAGCTGCTGTTCAAAGCTCCCGTGTAGTCGGGAATAAATTTTTCACCAGAAAAATACCTTATTTGTATTCTCGTTGTACAACCTGAATGATTGGTTGGTGTGCTTGAGAATATAATTCAGCACACGTAACCTTGGCGAGTAATACTGGTTGGCAGTATTACTGATTATTGTACTGATAACAGGGAAACTTGGACTGTTCCCAACTCTATGGGGTGATGAAAAGTAGCATGGAGTACAAATAACCATGTTTAGACTTAAATGGTGTTTTCGTGGAATGTGTCTTCAAGAAGAATGGATATCAGCTCCCAATGGGGATATAAAATGCAACTATTACTTTTAAGGGTCCTTAATTGTTGTCAGAATATGATGACTCACTATATTTCATTTTATGTAATAAACAGAAACAAACAGTTCAGTACATTTTACTAAGGAACATGTAGACCTTCATGTGTGAGTGTCTGGAACATATTCATGAACTACTAAAATTGGCTGCTTTTCATTGAAGTCATGAGTGAAGAGGTAAGGGAAGACAAAATATAGAACAAAGTACGGCTTGTACATTAATGATTTAAAGTTCTATACTAAATGTTACTGGCAGTGTATTGAATGTCATGCTCCTGTTGATATATTGCCTGAGACAGTTATTACATTTTTGTCTCTTCCACATACAGGCATCTATGATGAGGACCCAGAGATCATCACACTCAACAGGGCTGAGTTTGGTATGTGTGTTTTCTACTCAACTTCTACTTCCACCTTTCTTGACGAAGTCAGGTTTGAAGTAGGTGCATTCATGCATGTTATCTAAAATGTGGTTTCAGCGAAAAATGTTTAAATGCAAACTAATACAATGCCAGCAGAATCCTACACAAATATCAAGGTGCAAGGAAATTAGGTACACAGCTCCAATTTTGCCTGCACAAAAGTGCAGAATTTTTTAATGCACCCAGTACATGTATTTTGAGCCCTTAACCAAACTGTATATTACACACGTCATCTACATGTATTTGGAAGTAAACGCAGCCCAAAGAAACTTCCGCCACTGCTATATTACTTGTGAGCAGATCAAAGTCATGAGGATGAGAAAACAGCAGTTAAAGAGCTGTTTCCACCCTGCAGACTTGACTGAGATTGACCATTTGACCTTGAGGTGCCCAAAGGCAGCAAGTTGAGGCCCTAAGACTCCAGCAGAAGGATTATTAGCATTCCCTTTTGGCAGAGGAAACATCTTAGGGCTTCCAGCTAGCAGGCTTAACCAGCTCTAATGGTGTTCCTGGATTTACAAACGTCACTGTTTGTCCTATTATATAGCCAAAATGATGGATCAACCAAGTAGGGACGGCGAGAGAAGAAATTAAACAATCCATCATTTATTCAAAGGATCATAGAACGACTTCTGGGTGTAAATGAAAGAAAGGAAAGTAAAAGGCCATTTATGCCTGACAAGAGAGAGTAGAGTGGAGAGCCAGGATCAGGAAAGGCTAGGGTTTGTGTAGGAGGTCAAGGAAGAAAGGATCATTTGCGCAACCTTAAGGAGTGTAGATTACCTCCTTAGAGACGAAGTGTGTTGCCGGTATAGTCAATCAAGATACATGATGAGAGCTGTGGAAATCCTGCATGTGGGGATTTGTTACCCTCAAACTGGAATACAGCTGGAAAGAGAAGTAGAGGTGAAGGAATGCCTCTGAGGAGGACAGTAGAGGGAGACAATGTAAAGATGGGTTGTGGAAGAGAGGGCACACAATCATGTACACAATAGCTAGCAGCTGACAAAAGACTTGGGGCAAGATGGTCTTGTGGTTGGGGTGGTGACTTTGAAGGTTCTGGGTTCAAATCCCTGGCAGGCACCATTGTTGTGTCCTTGAGAAAGGCACTTTGACACCTATTTTCTTACTTGACTATCTGATCTGACAGTGATGTTTCAAGCTCAAAACTTTCAAAGAAAGTAATATTGTTTGATTGATCAAAGGTGAATGTGGAAATAAATTCTAAGCAGCCATTTGCAAAAACTCCACGTACATGTAGAATGAGCCCATGAAAAACTTGGTGCCCTCCCCTTCCATTCCTTAAAGCTTCCTTAAGCTCAAAAATGTCAAAGAAAGTAATATTGTTTGATTGATCAAAGTCGAATGTAGAAATCCTCAGAGCAACTGTCAGTGAAGTTAGTTAGACATCCAGGCAATAAGATACGCCAAAAACAGTTTCTCAAGCAACATGATATGATTTTAGAAAATCCCAAATCACATCTAGTCGCTTGAGTATTGTTTTTGGCATACCTTAAAGCAACTGTTGGCTGAAATCCTAAGTAGAATGAGTCTGTACAAAAGTTTGGTGCACTTCCCTCCCATTCCTTAAAGCTGTAACACCAGTTATTTCCCCGTCTTCCCTGACAGTAATGTGGTGAGCTTCTGGCACGTTTATCCCTCCTGAGAGCTCCTCTGACGTGCCCATTATTATCTCACAACCCATGATGTAGTGTTATTCACTTGTGGCCCAATTATAGCATTTCTGCGGAATGATTGGCTGGCAATATCTGCAGTCCAACTGTAATAACTGTTCTTCTACCTCTAGTTACATTTAATCTGCCGGGGTATAATGACTACACGGCACTGACAACTCACTGTGTGAGGAATATAAAGGAGAAGGAACTTGTGCGTCAAACACTACTCAGGGCTCAAAATATATTTTTCTACATACAATGTACATGCACTGGTGCAGGTAACAGTGAAAATTACCTGCACGAGGCAAATTTTACCTGTACCACTCAGAATTTTGGAAGTATGGATCATATGAAAACTTTTGCCATTATTTCTTTTATACTTCATAGGTGGTAATAGTCAATGGAGCAATTACAAATCCACATACACCAACACCTACATATTTTGTATATAAACCTGGTACATGGACCAGTGCAGGTTAGGTGTAGGCAGACATCAGAAATACATGTACATGTACCTGCACAGCTCCAATTTTACCTGCACTAACCTGTATACATGTATGCACAGTGCACCAAGTATTTTGAGCCTTGCTACTTGAAATTCGTCTCAGAGATTCAGAATGTAAGTCTTAAGTTATCCTGCTGAGATTAATTTCAAACCCTTGGTTTATGAATTGCATATGAAATCTTCCTGCAGCCTGGACACAGTTTGGGTATTGATTTACTGTTTAACATAAAGTGGTGACATTTAGACTCTAATTGGACTCTGCATTTTGCATAGTGGGTGTCAGAAGTTATATGGACTAAAAGGACATTGCTATGTCACTGTTATTTACATATTAGAGCTTGAAGAAACACTACTTTAGTGATCTTCCTTCATAAGATAGTGGCTACCTCTTACTCTCTGAATTATCCTTGTTAACATACGTATATACAATTTATATGCATTGTTTCAATCTTCTAGGCTCCTCTTTCAAAATAAGTAAAAATAGTATGTCACCAGGGCCCAAAATATGGCCTGTATATTCTATTTTACACTTGTAGTGCAGGTAAAATTGGAGCTGAGCAGGTATTGCAAAGCAAAATTTATAAATAAAAACTACAGTGACTATTTCAAGAAGGCTAATTTTCCCATAACTGTTTTGACGCATCTCAAATGAATGCTTTATCTTGCAAACTATGTAATAAGTGATGCTATAAGCATAGAGCTGATTTGCTTGTTATTGTTGAAGCCCGTCCATGAAGTTTGATCTAGTGAATCTTTCCTCTGCAGAACAAACTGTGCGACAGTCAGACGACATCTGGTTCATCAATTTCTACTCACCGAGGTGTTCCCACTGTCACGACCTCGCACCTGCTGTAAGTATGAAGGCCAGAATATAGATAGGGACAAAATCACCAGATGGTATCTATTTATAGAGTTCTTTTATTAATAAATTCATTGCATGAAAGACAACCTTCAACTTTCATGATTCAAATTATAAGTCAGAAAGACATCGTTTCTTGTGGTAATATTCTATGTCTAAAACTGGATCAAAATGGAGGTAAACATGGCCAATTTACTTTGAGTCGGTGAAGAACTCTTTGGAAAGTTGCCCACACTCTATAACTTAGTGTGTAGCTTATTGAGTTTTTATGTGGTGATTTCTTTTGGTAAAGACTCCTACATTAACAGAAAAAAGCCTTTGCGCTATAAAACCTTTCAAAATAGTAACAACTATCTAACATTCAGTACCAAAGACAGCTTATGTTATGGATGAGGTAAATAATGACTTCTCCTGTACCGTAAAAAAAATAGCTGTCTATATATCTTTTTACCTGTGTACATTCTTCCTAATGGCTTACCAGTATTAGTGTGAATTTTTGTCAAGCGGCAAGTACGATGGCTAAGAATAACTTGTTACCACCTATCAAGTGATGGGCAATCAGCACCAATGCTTCAATACGTTCCTGTCACAAGTGATAACTTTCCACCATCAAACCTCTCAAAATAGGGAACAGCTATCACACTTTCAACACCAAGGACAGGTGTTGTTATGGATGGGGTAAATTATAACTGCTCAATTATAACTTACACAGCTGCAATATGTTCTCGTCACAAGTGATAACTTTCCACAAAAAACTCTCTAAATGGGAAATAGCTATCACACTTTCAGTACCAAGGACAGCTTATGTAATGGATGAGCTAAATTACAACTTCTCGTGTACCATTAAGAATAGCTGCCCTTATATCTGATAACCTATATATGTTCTTGCTACTGACTAAGCAGCATGGATCTTTGTCATGTGCCAAGCACCACAGCTAAGAATAACCTAACAAGTGACAAGGCTGCAATACGTTCTTGTCACGAGTGATAACTTTCTACCATAAAACCTTTCAAAATAGGGAACAGCTATCACATTTTCAGTACCAAGGACAGCTTATGTTATGGATCAGCTAAATTACGAACTCTCATGTACTATGAAAAAGTTCCCGTCTATATATCTTATTACCTGCGTAATACCCTCCCTGCTGACTCAGCGGTATACTGATATAGATCTAGTCCATGAAAGCTGAGGGAGTTAAGATATGGACTAATAAATACCCATGAGAAGCCATTAATCATGTTCTAACTGTCATGTCAAGGGTAGAAAAGTTGTTAGCATGATCTTATTAGCTTAGCGTCAGTCTTTCTTCTTATCAATGGGAACAGAATTTCAGTATGAGTTGTTGTGTACCTAAAACCTATAGCAAGCTGTCAGCAACATATGTTGGCAAATGATTAATACTTTCTAGCATCTCATAGGAAAAGACAGGATTGCATGTTGAATCAGATGTGCCAAATTGATTTGTGCACTTTGTTTTCCAACCTCTCACAATGTGCATTAAGCAAGAGTCCTTCCATTCACTATATCAAAATCAATCAAGTTGCTTCCATCCATAGAATGAAAAATATTAAGTGGATTTTTTTGATATTGATGTTTGACCATAGCACTGACCATTAGAGCCTTAGTGCCCTGATGTTACATCAATGAAGGTTAGACATCCAGGTAATGAGATACAGATTCTGAAGTAAACAATTACTGAAGCAACTAGATAGATATTGAAAACTGTCAGACATTTCAGGTAGCATGCACGTCTGACAAAATCAATTTCAGTTTTCAAAATCTATCCAGTTGCTTCAGTGACTGCTTTCTTGTGCCCTAATGATAATACACAAGGCATCAAAATTTATTACATGCACGATGATCGTTTAATTCATTTAGTTATCCCTTCTTTCCTTCCTTCCTTCTATCCCTCAGTGGAGAGAGGTAGGTAGAGAGCTGGTGAACGTGATCAGGATTGGAGCTGTGAACTGTCAGGAGGACTGGATCCTGTGTCGGCACCAGGGGATCAACCGTTACCCCTCCCTCATCCTGTATGCAGGCAGTACCAGGAGGGTAGGTGGTCTTAAACCTGTCTGAAGCAGTTTCAGGGCAGCAATACAAAAAACATTCTGGATGAGGAAATCTGGAGGAAATTTGTATCAAATAGACATTTACTGCCATTTCCTAGCACATCTCAAGTGATACCTTTTGAAGCAGATGGATTGCTAATTCATATTAAGAAAGTAGAAATACAAGGACTTCAAGCTCATTTTTTTACCCTCACGTACAACACTTAAGACCTGCATGAGCACACAGTGAAGATGCCTTGAAGTCCTTTTTAAGGCTGTAAGCAGCCATTTTTCAGCAACAATCATCTATGCCAGATAAACGTATTCTATATATACACACACACTACCACAAAGCCAGCAATAGACCTTGAAAGTATTGATTGCCCTTGGAGTAGTTTGTATGCATCGAGCATGACTCCCAGTAGGTTGTTTTTCTTCCTCAAATTTATGGTCGATATCAAGTATCGTTAGCAGATTTGTTTAGGCTGCATATTTCATCTTGAGGTCACTGAAAATAAATCATTGATTGTTTCATCAATTCATTCATCACTTTTGTTAGGAAGCAACAAAATCAGCATGAATGTTGCGTGAACATGAAAAATTGCTAGATGTCTTGGAAAGATGTGCAATGCTAAGAAAAATTATAACTGGTGAACTTTCAAAATGATGAACATAGAATAATCCTGTTCTAATAGTAATACAAAACTTCTTTGACAAAACCATAGTTGATCTTCTCAGCTGCTTTCAGCTGCCTCCATGAGATTGTGTTACAAATACTTTCTTGCAAATGACTTTCAACCTGTTGAAGCTATTCATGGCTGATGAACAGTGACTGTCATCCTTTATCTTGTTTGTTGCCTCATGTTTCTCTTTGATTGCCTCCCCAGCCTGAGCGGTACACAGATGAGAAAAGCACCAAGAAGATGGTGAAATTTGCCCTGAAACAAGTGACTGCCTCGGTCACTGACCTCTGGGCAGGTAAGGGACCTTCTTTTTCATCTCATCTATCTCTTCGTCTAATTATTTGACCCTAGGGTCACCACAGAAGATCTGACAACCAGTTTTCTCCATCCTTCTTGGTCTTCTGTTTTTAATGTTTCACTTAATGAGGTTTAATGCTTGACCATTCTCTGACATTTTCCTTACATCTTTTCTTTTGCCTACCTATCCTTCTCCCTCCTCGTACCATGTATTGCTTTAGCAACAAAAATTTATAAAAAAAAAAAGAAAGAAAAGTACAGTACTCCTTGCATGATAATATTGGCTAGATCTGATGGCCAGGGCATGTGGCCATACCACCTTAGTTTTCATTTCTTTTCTGAAGTTAGGTTTTCACATGGACTTATGTCCTGCCTGACTCTGTTTCCTACTTCATCGCCTACTTTTACAACCACAATCATGGAGAAGTACATGTAGGTACTCAGTTACAGTAGCCGTCCCAGAATATCATAAATGCTCCTGAGTAATGAAAGCATCTTCCAGACTGATTGGTTGGCCTTCTGGTCGAGACAGGTCACCGCCAAAATGTGGCAAATCATCCTGCCCAAACTACGAACGGCAGTTTTCTCTTTAGACCAGTAAAAACGCAGCTTTTATGTGCCTGCCAAATGGAAAATTGGGAGGATGACAGCTAAAAGGTCCAGGCATTCCTGTCATAGGGGGTAACGCAGGTCAGTTGGAGGACTTTTTGGGGAAATGGAAGTGGTGTTGAGGTGGCTGGTTGAGAGCTGTTTTAACCTCCAGTGTGACCCCCTGACAGGAAATTGCAACTGGTTATGGTAATGCAAGATGCTGAAGGTTAGGTGAAGGACAGCTCAGGGCCGACATAAATATGGCTTTTGCCAAGTCCACATCTAGAAAGATAAGGGTCTCATCATCACCACTATCAGTCGTGGGGGCAAATAGCCTTAATGACAACTTCTCAGTTAAATCAAGGCCTGAACCATGCGGTGAATCAAAACCTGAAAGTGCCTGAGCTAGTTTTAGGAAAGCCTGAATGATACGTGGATGGCAAGGTAGATGTGATAGTAGTAAACTTTGTTTTGGTTTGGACTAGAAATGCTGTAAAGTTCAGTTCAGTAGAGTTTTTGCAATCTGGTGAAGATTGAAATGAGCTTTATTTGCTTGTAAACTAAAAATAAAAGCAGTGTTTTCTCCACCATTACTTTAACCAAGACTGGTCTCTTTGCTAATAGTACTTTCTATATGAGGGTTTATGATCTCTAAAACTGAATACAAACTCTAATCTACAAGTCATAGGGAGCTTCTATCCATTGCAGCCTTCACACCAAGATAAAATCTCAGTCCTTCCAAAGTCTAATGGATTTTATTACTGAGTCTTATTCTTAGCTCATTGCCCCGAGCAATGAGATGGACATTGATTGAGTTGGTGTCAGGGATTCCCAGGTCGATGTATAAATTTTCCATTCGCTGCTATTAGTTTAATTATCTGATTTGGTCATCATGATTAATGCATGCGATCAGGAAATAAAATACTATTGATTGTGACTTAATGGTTTCAGAGATTCAGAATATTGTTTGTTGTTAGTTTTGTTCAAGTGAAAAATATTGTTGAACATGATCAGGTGCTGAGAGATTTTGTCATAGAGTCTAAAACTACCATACATTTCATGTTGCCTTTTTAGTCTTTGGCATTGATATGAAGTAACTTTTATTTTACTTTATGGATGCACTAACAGCTACTTCCAACAAAATGCTGTAATTCCTGATTTTTTGTGTTACTTTTATGTTAACTTTGCAGTTTTCGTGGTCACTTCTCCAACCTTATCATTACCATTAACAAATAATTCGCTGACTTTCTTTTTCTGCAACTACTGCCTCCGTGAGTAATTATAGTTCCGTGAACACCTCCATTTTTGTCAGACTGCAAACCTGAACATAAAGTGAATTACAGTATACGTACTCCAACCAAAATGAACAGTCACTGATGTTGCAAATTAAGAAGAATCCATCTTCATAATGGGAAGCAACAGAAAAAGGTCGGACGTTCTATCACGGAAGCGAGAAAATTGATCATAGCCACCGTCCTTCCTCCCCCCAAGGCCTACCCACCCATTAACAGAAACCAGGATTGCTCTGTAATTGTGCAGTTTATCAGCCCCTGTAAAAGAAACACTTCAGCCAATAACACAAGCAATAAAATTGTGAAGTTTGTGTGGGGTGCTTGTAGCAGGATTATTGATCCATAGAGAGGAAATACCAGCACATTTTATAGCATCGGAGATGTAATTAAGGCAACCTACTGCTGAATAAAACTGCAGTGATTCCTTCTTTTTGAATTGCTGATTAGATTTTAATCCTTGAAATTGTAGAATCCTCTCTTTCCTTTTCGCATTGAGTATTAATTTTGCATCCGTGATGGATGTAGTCCATTTGGCTTTTAAGAAGTGATTATGGCAATGATGAATCAGTAAGAAGTTATTGATTATCAAAATTGCCTTCCCCTTTTTTGTTTGGAGCACTGATTAGGTTTTAATCCTTAGTCCTTATTTCTTGTGGATTTTTTTTGCTGACTGGATCAGATTTAATCCATTTTGTAATTTGAAATTCCAGATATTCTACAGTATGCATGCATCTTGTGTGTACTGTATCTCTCCGAGACATCTGACATTCTATAGACATGTTTTATACATTTGTATTCACTGAATTAACACAATGTAAGTCCCAAAGGAAACTTGTCTCCAATGTAGTTCTTCCCAGTTCAACAGTCTGCAGTTTATTTCTCTTTGAAGTGCTGATTGGGGTTTTAATACTTACGTTTGAAGTTTTTTTCAAATTGGCATTTTTGCTGTGTCAAAAGTTGTCCAATACGCTATGATCTTGATGTTTCACCCATAGGGGAATCTTGCTACAGTATACATGCATCTTGCCATGTGCCATATCTCACAGGAACAGTTGATAATCACTTACATATTTCATATTCACCCAAATGCCAAACCAGCTTTAAGTCACCACATTAGCAATTTATTTTACCCAGTTGTACAGTCCGTTTTAATCCAGTTGGAATAAGTTGTACGTTATTTGAATGCATTTGAGGCACTGGTAGTACGTGTTAGACTTCCTCTGAATTTCAAGCATTTGAGTAACTTAATACGAGTTAGACTTCCTCTTACTTTCAGAAATTTGAGTTAGAACAAGTTAGATTTCCTCTGAATTTCAACCATTTGAGTTGGTACGAGTTAGACTTCCTCTGAATTTCAAGCCTTTGAGTTAGTATGAGTTAGACTTCCTTTGAATTTCAAGCATTTGAGTTTAATACTTGTTAGACTTCCTGACAGTGTCAAGCATTTGCATTGTCAAACTTCCGTTGAATTTCATTCATTTGTGTTGGTACGAGCTGCACTTCCTCTGAGTTTAAAGCAGCCAGAGGCTTAAATCACGACTTAAAGAATAATAGAAGACTTAAGATAGCATCCAAATTTCCCTGGAGTCAAGCCTCCTTTTCTAACGTACTAATTGGGTCACCTTGGGTCTCCCAAGAAGTTATCTGATCAAGATTTTTACCAAATTATCATCTAAAGAAGGGGTAACGTCTTCACTGCAATAAGTATGTGTCACAGGGGAATAGATGCTACACAGGCCTGGCAGGTATGTTGTTATCTGTGTTTCAAAATGCTGTTACTGCAGATTCTGATGAATTTAGAGTCAAGTCATGCAAATCTCTGTGTGCATTTTGTATGTAGGGAAGTAGCAGGATATAGTTTTATGTACTAGTATTGCACAATTTTCCAAACGTGTATGCATCAGCACTTAGAATTCAAGAGTTCCTTGCCAATGTCCCATTTGTAGTGATATTAATCTTACACATTGTACCCTTGGGAAAAATCAGAAGCATCATTTAATTATTTCAACTATCTCCACGCATTTATATTATACATTTTAAGCTTTATAGTTGCACAATTATTTTTCATTTAATTTATGACAAACTTCATGAGTTATCATGTGTATCATGTGTAAATTTGCAGCTTTTTAGATATTCGCTTTCCTCTCAAAGCAGGCACATACATATAGCAATTAAAAAAAACTTAAAGTGATGCTTCAAAGTCTTTAAATTTCTAGGTTATCAAATCGAAAATGTACCAGTCACATCAGGGTGATAGGTGACTGACACAAGCAAAGAACGCACCAGAAGAGTCAAATGTTAGAACTCAGAAACAATTGGTTTGACCCATGTCTGTACCTACCTCTCAGCCAGTTTGCCCTTTTCTCTAGGTTGTAAGATTGGATGCATAAGTCTGTCTGATTATCAGGAAAGGTCGCCAGGAAGGTGTTTTGGTATAGATCGATTCTGGGGCAATCAGACAGGCCCTCACGTATTTATAACTCAGATTAGTTTGCTGGAAAGTGGCAGTCATTAAAACGGGTAGAAGTGATGGATGGGAGATTTCATTGGCATGGAGTACAGGCCAATCAAAATCACACTTACACTTACTGGTACTGTGCACTCAACAGTGCTTGTTATACCTCATCCCATCATATCTAATGTGTTACATCGCATTGAACTATACATTTGGAAGAGGTAGTTACTTCTGATCTGAATCATCAATATCCCAATTTGAGAGCAATACAGTTGAAAAGATAAATGATGCAGTTTGTCATACATGTATTTTAAAATCTTCCCTCTTCCATAATTCTCATACCTTAAATTTTGTAGGTGTCATGTTGTAGGTATAAAAATAAAAGTACAAGCACTAGTAGACAGTTAGGCATCAGGGAAATCCCAGAAGCCTTTGGGTCAAATCCCAGAGGCCTTTGGGGTCTGCTGCCGTATCCCTCAGCAACAGAAGTGAAGTGATAAATGATACAATTATACACAGATGAGCTTCAATGCTAAGATAACAATCTCAGCAACTTTTCTCTAATCCAGGAAGTCTGGCACACGACAAAGTCACCTTCTCAGTGTATAGACTGTAAACTGAAAGTCACAAAGTTCAGTAACATCGAAGTTGAAGGTACAT